GCACTGAATGATATATGACAGAACTGGGGAAGTCCATCCATACGAAGAGATTCAATTTAGCGTTATCCATCTGGCAACAAACTAAATTTCAAAAATAAAGCTGTAAAGAGGCTTCCCTATGTAAAATACATAGGGATGTGATTAAAGTCTAGATGACAGCAGTTAAAAATGAACAAAGTTGGGCTATGATGGCAGGAACAGAATGGATTTCTCAAACATGTTTATTATTATATTGTGTACTGAAGAGACAAAAAGACCTAATTCTCTACGGGCTCTATGAACATCTTTGCCTAAGATGCAAAATGAAACCAGTTGTTATGAAAAGTGTACTCACCTGCTTTCCATCAACTTCAATATCTGCCACATAGTTCTCAAACACTGTGGGTACATACACTTCTGGGAACTGGTCCTTGCTAAAGACGATGAGCAAACAAGTCTTGCCACAGGCTCCATCACCAACAATCACCAGTTTCTTCCGGATGGCAGCCATGCTGAAACATGAGACAAAGGTGTTATCTAGAACGCACAAGAAGCTATTAATAGCCTCAGGCTATGACACACACTTTTCTGACCATGGGGCACAAGCCTCTATTAGCACACCCAAATACAAAATGTTAGTACAACTTTCCACTTGACACCAAAACTCCACAACTAATGGTTATACTTTTTTTCTTTTTAGGATTTTTATTTATGTATTTGAGAGACAGACAGAGAGAGAACAGAGTGGGTGGGGGGAGAGAGAGGGAGAGAGAATCTTTAAGCAGACTCTGTGCTGAGTGTGGAGCCTGACGCCTGGCTCTATGCCAGGACCATGAGATCACGACCTGAGCTGAAACCAAGAATTGATGCTTAATTGACTGCTGCCCAGGTGCCACAAACTAACTGTTATAGTTAAGGGTAAAAAGACTGGAAGCTTATCCTCAAGATTAGAACAAGACAAGAATGGCCACTTTTGCCACTTCTATCCAACATGATAATGAAGATTCTAGCCGGAGTAATTAAGCAAGAAAATGAGATAAGACATCCAGACTGAAAAGGAAGAAATAAAACTATCTTATTTTGCAGATGACATGACCTTATATATATATGGAAAATCCTAAGGAATCCACTAAAAATTATTAGAACAAATTCAGTAAGGTTGCAGGATACAAGATGAACATACAAAAATCAATTGTACTTCTATAACCTGGTAATGAACAAAGTGAAAATGAAATTAAGAAGACAATTTCATTTACAATACCTTCAAAAAGAACAGGGACAAATTTAACAAAAGTACAAAATACACTCTGAAAACTCCAAAACAGGGGCACCTGGGTGGCTCAGTTGGTTAAGCAGCTGCCTTCGGCTTAGGTCATGATCCCAGGGTCCTGGGATCGAGCCCCACATCGGGCTCCCTGCTTAGTGGGGAGCCTGCTTCTCCCTCTCCCTCTGCCTGCCTCTCTGCCTACTTGTGCTATCTCTCTGCCAAATAAATAAATAAAATTAAAAAAAAAACCTGAAAACTCCATAACATTGTTGAGAGAAAGATCTAAACGAATGAAAAGACTTGGAAGACAATACTGTTAAACGACAACATCCTCCAAATCATTCTACAGATTCAAGACAATCCCTATCAAAATACCAGCTGGCTTCTTGAATTGAGAGTCCAGAAATAAGCCCCCACATTTAGGGTCAAGTGATGGATGCCAAGACAATCTGATGGAGGAAAACGTCTTTTCAACAAATAGTGCTGAGACAACTCAATAGATCCACACAAAAGAATGAAGTTAGAAAGCTACACCTCACATCATATACAAAAATTAACTCAAGATGGATTACAGGCCCAGGGGTACCTGGGTGGCTCATTAATTTTACCACTAGCTACTTCATGTGGAAGGATGTGGAATCAAGCAGCATTTGCCCTTTTGGGACTGGCTTATTTCACACAGCATAATGTCTTCAAGGTTCATACATGTTGCAGCATGTGTCAGAATTTCCTCCCTTTTTAAAACTGAGTAACATTCTACTATATGTGTATATACTACATTGTTTATCCATTGATCCACTGATAGACACTGGGTAGCTTCCACCTCTTGGCCACTGTGAATAATATATTTAAGAATATACTGGGGGCGCCTCGGTGGCAGAGTTGGTTGGGTGTCCAACTCCTGGTTTCAGCTCAGGTCAGGGTCTCAGGGTCCTGGGGTCCTGACATCAAGCTCTATGTCAGGCTCCATGCTCAGCACGGACTCTGCTTGAGACACTCTCCCTCTCTCCCTCTGGCCCACCCTTCCATGCATGCTCATCTGCTCTAATAAATAAATTTAAAAAAAATATATATATATTTATCACTAGCAACCAAAGAAAAAATAGGTAATTGGACTTTCATCAAAATTTTTAAAACTTTTGTGCTTTGGGGTACCTGGGTGGCTCAGTTGTTAAGCGTCTGCCTTCGGCTCAGGTCATGATCCCAGTGGGATCGAGCCCCACGTCGGGCTCCCTGCTCTGCAGGAAGCCTGCTTCTCCCTCACCCACTCCCCCCTGCTTGTGTTCCCTCTCTTGCTGTGTCTCTCTCTGTCAAATAAATATATAAAATCTTAAAAAAGAAACAAAAACTTTTGTGCTTCAAGAGATACCATCCAGGGGTGCCTGGGTGGCTCAGTCATTATGTGTCTGCCTTCGGTTCAGGTCATGATTCCAGAGTCCTGGGATTGAGCCCCGCGTTGGGCTCCCTGCCCAGCGGTAAGCCTGCTTCTCCCTCTCCCACCCCCCCTGCTTGTGTTCCCTCTCTCGCTGTGTGTCTCTCTCTGTCAAATAGATAAAATCTAAAAAAAAAGAGAGAGAGAGAGAGAGAGCGATACCATCAAGAAAATGAGAAGACATGGGGTGCTGGGCTGGCTCAGCATGAGTTTTGATCTCAGAGTCCTGAGTTCAAGCCAAATGCTGGGTGTCGAGTCTACGTTTTACAAAAAAAGAAAGAAAGAAAAAAAACAAGAAGACAGCCCACAAATAGGAGCAAATGTTTGCAAATAACATACCTAATAAGGCATGTGTATCTAGAATACATAAAAAACCCCTAGAACTCAACAACAAAAAAGCAGCTTAGGTTGGATGGTCTGGCTCAGGGTCTCTCATGAGACTGCAATAAGGATATTGATTTGGGGGGGGTGCCTGGGTAGCTTAGTCGGTTAAGCATCTGACTCTTGGTTTCGGCTCAGGTCCTGATCTCAGGGTGGTGAGATTGAGCCCCACGTTAGGCTCCGCACTCAGTGCAAAATCTGCTTGAGATTCTATCCCCCTTTCTCCCCCGCCCCCGTTCCTCCCCCTGCGCTCATGCATTCTCTAAAAAATTAAATCTTAAAAAAAAAAAAAATGGGCAAAGGATCTGAATAGGTATGACCCAGCAATTCCATTCCTAGACATACATCTGAGAAAAATGAAAACCTATGTTCACACAAATACTTGTACACAAACGTTCAGCAGCATTAAAATATTCATCACAGGGCGCCTGGGTGGCTCAGTTGGTTAAGCCACTGCCTTCGGCTCAGGTCATGATCCTGGAGTCCCAGGATCGAGTCCCGCATCGGGCTCCCTGCTCTGCAGGGAGTCTGCTTCTCCCTCTGACCCTATCCCCTCTGATGTGCTCTCTCTCTCTCATTCTCTCTCTCTCAAATAAATAAATAAAATCTTAAAAAAAAAAAAATATTCATCACAGTTGGGGAACCTGGGTGGCTCAGTCAATTAAGTGTCCAAATCTTGGTTTCGGCTCCGGTCATGAGATCGAGCCCCATGTTGGGCTCAGCACTCAGCAAGGAGTCAGCTTGAAGATTCTCTCCCTCTCCCTCTGCCCCTCCCCCTGCTCCTGCACTCTCTAAATAAATAAAAAAAAAATTTTTTTTAAGATTTTATTTGACAGAAAGAGAACAAGCACACGGAACAGCAGGCAGAGGGAGAGGGAGAAGCAGTCCCCCAGGAGCAGGGAGCCCTCTGTGGGGCCTGATCCCAGGACCCCAGGATCATGAACTGAGCCAAAGGCAGACACTTAACCAAATGAGGCGCCCAGGCACCCAAATAAAATCTCCCCCCCCAAAGAAAGCGGAAACAAACCAAACATCCAACAACTAATGAATGGATAAAATGTGGTATATATATCCATAGAATAGAATGATGTTCAGCAATAAATAGAGGAAAAAGTGCTGATACATACCACAGTGTGAATGAAACTTGAAAACATTACATATGTGAAAGAAGCTTGCCACAAAGAACCACATACTGAGTGTCTCCATTTGAATAAAATTTCCAGGGTAACCTAGTTGGCTCAGTCAGTAGAGCACAGGACTCTTATCTCAGGGTCATGAGTTCAAGCCCCATATTAAAATTTAAACAAAAACAAAAACAAACAAACAAACAAAAACACAATACAGGGTGCCTGGATGGCTCAGTTGTTAAGCGTCTGCCTTCGGCTCAGGTCATGATCCCAGGGTCCTGGGATCAAGTCCCATGTCGGGCTCTCTGCTCAGCAAGAAGCCTGCTTCTCCCTCCCTCTGCTTGTGCTCTGTGTCAAATAAAATCTTAAAAAAGTGTGTGTGTATATATATGTATGTGTATGTGTATATATATGTATATATAAAATGTTCAGAATAGGAAAATACAGAGACAGAAAATAGGTTGGTGGTTGCCTAAGGGAGTTGGAGGAGGGAGGAAAGAAAATGATTACTAAGGGAACAGTGGGGTTTCTTTTGGGGATGACAAAACTGTCATGAGATGGATGCAGAGCCACAGCTCTATGAATATATTATATAGTATGAATATATGACATTGAATTGTACACTGAAATGGGTAAACTCTAAGGTATATGGAGTGTATTTCAATAAAGCTGTTACCAAAAAAAAAAAAGAACCTCCAGAATCCTTCCATTTGCCAGAGACTAATTAATGGTCAACCACCCCAATTTCCACCATTCCCTCTTAGAACAGCACCCCAATCTTTAGCTGTGTATGTTGTTGCCTAGTTAAAAGACTACATTTTTTAGCCTCCCTTACATTAGGTATGGCTATGTACAAAGTTCTAGCCCATACGATGGGAAAAGTTTTCAATTAGCAATAATCGCGCCTCGGATAAACCTCATTGGCTACGATACTGCCACTGCGCAAAGCTCTAGCCCATACGATGTAATCAGCAATGCTTGTGGGACTTCCAGGAAGTCTTCCTTAAAGTTAAGTCCTATGTCCTTCCTCATTCCCTGCCTCCTTCCTGGTGCTTAAACCTGGAGCCAAGGCTGCTTTCTGAACACCATCCTGGAATGTGAAGATATGGATGTGTAGATGAAGAACGTAAGTGCCACATTCCGGAGTTGGAGGATTAAAAGGTAGAAAAAGCCTGGATCTTAGCTGCTCTTGGGAGCCACCATCTCAACCCCAGACTGCCTACACTTCTACACTCCTTTATGTGAAAAATAACTGTCTTGTTTAAGATGATATTTTTCAGATCTTTGTTACCTGTAGTCAAACTAATCCTCAACAATACATACTCATAAAACCAGACTATCTAAAGGGAATGCTTCCCAAACTGGAGCAGGTATAATTCACTGGGGGTACATGAAAGAAACACAAGAACCACATTTTTAAGTCTAGAAAACCTAAGGAATTTAGTTTTTTTTTTTTTTAAAGATTTTACTTATTTGAGAGAGAGAGAGAATGAGAGATAGAAAGCACGAGAGGGAAGAGGATCAGAGGGAGAAGCAGACTCCCTGCTGAGCAGGGAGCCCGACGCGGGACTCCAGGATCATGACCCGAGCCAAAGGCAGTCGCTTAACCAACTGAGCCACCCAGGCGCCCAGGAATTTATCTTTAAAATTTTAATTGCATAAACTCCTAAGCAGAAGATCCCATAATGGGAAGGGCTCACAGTGCTGCCATCATGCATTTGTGAGTTCTCAGTATGCTTAACATACGGCAGTATGTGCCTCACTAAGTATATACACAGACTTTATGAAGTTTTAACCAAACCCAAAACTGATCTAGTGATTTTTAAAGATCTTTTATTTTTTTGCACAAAAGCATTAGATTGAGGATAATACTAATAATGAAAGTACAATAATAAGCATAAACAGGAAATGTGCTTGATATCATTCTTTCAACAGCAGGAGTATGCAGGGGTGCCTGCCTGGCTCAGTCAGTAGCAAGCATGTGACTCTTGATCTCAGGGTCGTGAGTTCAAGGCCCACGTTGGGCTTGGAGCCTACTTTAAAAAAGAAACAAACAATAGGAGCATGCAATCAAAACAGTATTATATTGAGACCAGCCTTTAAACTATGGCCCAGTACTCTGGCCACCCCTTCAGCTCCCCTTTCCTTTTTTGCTTTGGATTCCTAATGGATATGGGACCGGTCTCAAGGTCCTGTAGTTTCACTTGTGTTTTGTCTTCCAACTGGACTGCAAATCACCTAAGATCAAAGAACGTATCTTAAATTTCTTTGCAGCCTTATTCAGTTTGGTACTTTAGTGGGCATGCAGTAGATATTAAATAAATACAAGAAAACCAAAAACCAAAAAACATTTCTTAAATGAGAAAGGAGAGAGATTACCTCATTTTCAGAATCCAGGGCACAGACACTAATGGATTTACCTCTTAAAAATTGTTCCTCTAGGGGCACCTGGGTGGCTCAGTTGGTTAAGCAACTGCCTTCGGCTCAGGTCATGATCCTGGAGTCCCGGGATCGAGTCCCACATCGGGCTCCCTGCTCAGCAGGGGATCTGCTTCTCCCTCTGACCCTCTTCCCTCTTGTGCTCTCATTCTCTCAAATAAATAAATAAAATCTTTAAAAAAAAATTGTTCCTCTAGGTTCAGTCTGACTGCTAACATCTCGATAGGATTTGTAAATCATTTTGTTTTTCTCATGTTCTCAAATTCACTTCTAGATTTTATATACTTTACACACCTCTTCAGGCCCAACTTGTATTGGTTTGTGCCCCAAGTCAAACAACCAGGGCCTCATGGGATGCAAACAAAATTCATCAGGAAATCCCTGGTTCAAAAATAAGGCTGCCAGCTTTGAATACCTCCTTCCTAGAAGGCACTCAATTCTCAAGAAATAATTTCTCTCAATCTAATGTGGTTAAAGATGTACAAAATGCAAATGCCAGGGAGCAACCAAAAAGGCTTTGGAAAATTTTCCTTGGGGAACATTTGGCCCAGGAAAAGTGTTAAAACCAACCAGCCTCTACTGGTGAGAAAGACAGAAATTACAAGTGATTATGGGACAAAATGAAAATGAAAGCCTAGAATTACAAATTGATTTCTGGGAGTCTGGCCACACAACCAGACTTGTTGACAAGAAGTGAGAAGTACAAACATCAGGTCATTTCCTGAAATGACCCAAGAAAATGTTACTCTTGTCTTTTCCTTTAACTTTGCTATAAATCCAGCATCTTTTTCAAGTACATGTCTTGCCACAGCTTGAGAAAGGAAATCACACCGGGCTCTCTCTGCAGTCTCTCTGCCGCATGTGTCATTTTCTAGGCTGAATGCAGTCTCAGAAACAATTCTTAAGAGCTCTGAGGAGAGATTTGTCTAGTAAGTCATGACATATTTAAGTCACCTGTAACTTTATGTAAAGGATTGTAAATTTCCTTCCTCAGTTCAAAATCTTTTATAAAAGTTACTGTGCCACCCTCACGAAAGTCAAAAGGAAAAAGAAAGGTCGAAAGGAGATCTCCCATGGTGCTGAGAGGACACAAAAAACACCTGCCACTGGCTGTGGACAAAACTTTGGCAAATTACATTAAGCAGTTACTGTTAACGAAGACAACTAATACTGTAATATATTTCCCACCCACATGCAAATAGAAATGGATCCCCAAGGAAAGCAACAGAGGGGCTACATGCAGTGTCCCATGTAATCCTGTGCTTCATACTCAACAGACAAAAGAGCAGACAGCTCACTGACTCGGGAGGCGGCACCACAGGCCTCCAGGGCAGTACTCCTCTCCAGGGGATGCAGTATCTCAGCAAGCATCTCTTACGGGGTCTGGCATCAGAGGAAGCACTCAGTAAACAGCAGCTCCTACTACTATGGTCTCTCCCTCCAGCTAGGCCTAACCTCACGTCCTCTAGCACCTTTCAATTCATACAGTATTGCCACTTGTGGTATCCCACACCTCCTCTCTCCCTCTCTAATGGCTTCCTTCTCTCAGTCTACAATAAAGTGCAGAGTGCCCCTACTTTAAAATAATAAATCTTCCCACATTCACGCTTTCTTCTGGTTACTGTTCTCTCTGGCCTGTTTCAAAGAGAAGGTATACCCACTGGCTTGCTTAAAATCCCTCCAACCTGCCTTCTGCCCAAACTACCAAAACTTTCTCAGAAATCACCAATGACCTCCCTTCACAAAATCCAGTCCACCTTCTCCTTGATATTTTTTGTTCTAACTTAGCTCCCTAACAAAATACGCCGATGTGCTGATCTCTGCTGTCTGTCTCGTTAGCTACAACCTCCACACCTAATCACTCCCAGCCAGGCTGGGTTTTTCCCTCATCTCCTAATACTCTACCTATCTCTGGGAATCTCAGTTCTTAAAAAAACAAACAAACAAAAAAAACACTTCTATGAATGTCATTCCCAAATCTCTCTCTGACCCAGTCCCTGTTCTAAAACTTCTGATACACCTCAATTCTATTCTCTACTTCCATCTCAAATTCAACATCTTCCAGACATCATTCCAATCTCTGTCCAATCTTCTTTTCCCAGTTACCTCAATCTTGGTGATGAAAACAAAATTACACTCCTAAATACAGGTAGAAACCCTGTGGTTGGGGCGTCTGGGTGGCTCAGATGGTTAAGCATCTGACTCTTGATTTAACTTAGGTCATGATCTCAGGGCTGTGAGATGGAGCCGAGTCTGGCTCTGCACTGGGCATGGAGGCTGCTTAAGATTCTCTCTCTCTCCCTCCACCCCTTCCTCTCTAATAGAAAAGAAACGAAATGAAGAGAAGAAAAGAAACCCTGTGGTTACACAATTCTCCTACTTCCTTTGTTTCTCACAGCAAGACTGCTTTCAAGTTCTAGGGAATTCTGCCCCTTCATGGGTCTCCCTTCCACCACTACCACTTTGACTTCCCATAATCATTGTTCCATTTCAAGTCCTCAGTCCTCAATACTGCCTGCCTGGAAAAAAGCAAAAATGCAACTGGTCTCACCTCACTTCCGTCCTGCTTGCTGCAGGCAATTTCTCCATTCCTACACCTGGGCTTTAGCCCATAACGCCTTTCTGCAAAGGCCTTCAGAAGGTCCTCAATGCCAAAATCAGGTCAAAACTTCTCAGCCTTAACATCAGGGTCCTCTGAAATTCTAATTTTCTCTTCCCACCTTCTCTCCATTCCTTATCACACACCTAATTCCACTAATTGGACTTGTAACACTCCCCCACCTCAGCTCAAAGTAATGCCTTATTTGAATTTTTTTCTCCCTTTCTCCAGAAAATAACACCTCATCTGTCCACCCCAAGCACTGCCCTCTGTTCCAAAGCCTATTTTTTTTTTTTTTAAGATTTTTTAAGTCATCTTTATGCACAACGTGGGGCTCAAACTCACAATCCTGAGATCAAGTCATATGCTCTACCAACTGAACCCGCAAAGCCTATTTCTCATTTCTGGTCCTACATCTTTCACTCCTCAAAATCAAATGTTGCCTCCAAGTGAAGCTTTGGTCCTCCTCTCTTGGTCCTTATACACCTCAATTCAACCACTTTTACCAGGCATCCTACTCTATGGAAGAGATGGCAGTTCTATTTCTTGTGTGCTTGACTCATATCCGTTCTTGAGTGTAAGTTTCTTAAAGACAGAGACCACATCTGGCTTGGTCTGTCCCACTTGGAGCTGCATTATTAATGTAACAAGGATATGCTGAATGGGATGCTTATACAGAAGAACAAAAGTACAAAGAAGGGGCATGTTTCCCGAAAATACTGATAAAAAACTTGACTCTTTGGCATTCTCTGTTTATTCTTTTCTTGAAGCAAGGACTGTTTTGTTTTGTTTTTGCTTTTTTAACATTTTATTTATTTTCTGACAGGGAGAGAGACAGCGAGAGAAGGAACACAAGCAGGGGTAGGGGGAGAGGGAGAAGCAGGTTTCCAGCTGAGAAGGGAGCCTGATGAG